ATTCCTTGAGATTTCTAGATTTTACTAAAAACTGAAAGAACTGCGGATGCGGTAAATCAGGAACACAAACAGAAGTTGCTGGAAAAGCTCAGCAGATCTGGCAGCATCTGTGAAGAAAAAATCAGAGTTAATGTTTCAGGTCCAGTGATCCTTCTGAGGAAGGGTCACCAGACAAAAAACATTAACACTGAGGGATGGGGCAATGAGTGGAATCTGGTCAAAACTTACAGAATACTCAGATGCCTGGATAAAATGGACATGGAGATGTTTCCACTAGTAGGAGATATTAGGACCTGAGTGCACAGCCTAAGAGTGAAGGGACAACCCCTTAGAACTGAGATGAAGAGGAATTTCTTCTGTCAGAGGTTGATTAATCCTTGGAGTTCATTGCCACAGAGTGCTGCAGAGGCCAAGGCATTGAGCATATTTAAGACAGAGATATATTTGTTCTTGATTGGTAGGGGGATCAAGGCGATGGGGAGAAGGCAGGAGAATGTGATTGAGAAGCATATCAGCCATGATTGAATTTTTAATTCCTCTCTGGCCACGGGAGAAGTGCCAGAGGGCTGCAGGATGGCTAATGTGGTTCCACTTTTCAAGAAGGGTGGTAGAGATGAACCAGGAAATTACAGATCGGTGAGTCAGATGTAAGTGCTAGGGAAACTATTGGAGAAAATTCTGAAGGACCGAATTAATGTCCATTTAGAAAGGTATGGGTTAATTCGGGACAGTCAGCATGGCTTTGTCAGAGGGAAGACATACCTAACAAACTTGTCAGAACTTCTTTGAAAATGGGATTGTTTGTGTGCATGAGGGAAGTTCAGTTAATGTAATTTATATGGATTTTAGCAATACTTTTGACAAGGTCCCATATGGGAGATTGATTGAGAAGGTTAAAGCACATGGAATTGAAGGAAATTTGGCAAGTTGGATCAGAAATTGGCTTAGTAATAAGACACAAAGGGTAGTGGCAGAAGGCTGTTCAAGTGACTGGAGATCAGTGTCCTGTAGTGTACCACAAGGATTAGTACTGGGACCTTTATCATTTGTCATACACATAAAAATATTCATGAAAATGTAGGGGGAATGTTAAGAAAATTTGCAGAAGACACTAAGATTGGTAGAATGGTACATGGTGAAGAAGATGGTTGTGGGTTACAGGAAGATATAGGCAGGTTGGTCAGATGGGAAGACCGGTGGCAGAAGGTATTTAACACTGATAAGTGCAAGGTGATTCACTTTGGAAGAAAAAACAAGACAAGGGAGTATCTAATGAATGGCAGGACACTGGATAGCTTAGTGGAACAGAGGGATCTTGGGGTAATTATTCACAGATCCCTGAAGTCAGCACAGCACATGAATAGGATAGTTAAGAAGGCATATGGGACGCTTGCGTTCATCACTTCTGGCATAGAGTACAAGAGGAAGTTGTTGGATGAATGATGATTTATTGTCACTTGTACTCTACAATGAACAACCTGCTTAAATACCATGAATGATGGGACAGCACTAGAGGGGGTACAGAGGAGATTCACTAGGATATTGCCTGAGATGAATAAACTGGAAAGACAATATAGGCTTGGTTTGTTTTCTTCAGACCAGAGAAGACTGAGGAAGACATAATTGAGTGTATAGGATTATGAGGGGTATTGACAGGGTGAATAGACAGCAGCTGTTCCCCTTGGTTGATAGGTCAGTCATGAGAGGGCATTGTTTTAGGGTAACGGGCAGGAGACTCAGAGGGGATTGGGAAAAATAAAAATATCACTCAGCGGGTGGTGGGAAATTGGAATGCACTGCCTGGGAAGGTAAGGAGGCCAGAAACTTTACAACCTTTAAAAAATGTTAAGATGAGTTCTTCAAATATTATAATATTCAAGGATATTCTGGTCTCCCTGTTAGAGGATAGATAATAATAAACGAAAGAGGGCTCAGTAGAGATTTACTAGGATTTTGCCAGGAATGGAGGTTGAGAGGTGACCTTATAGAGGTTTATGTTAATAAGGTGAATGGCTGGTGTCCTTTCCCTAGGGTGGGGGATTTCAAGACTAGGGGACATATTTTTAAGGCGTGAGGAGAAAGATTTAATAAAGACATGAGGGGCAATTTTTTTTATACAAAGAATGGTTCGTGTGTGGAATGAACTTCCATAGGAAGTGACGAATGCGGGTACAGTTACAACATTTAAAAGACTTTTACTTAAGTATATGAAAAAGAATTATTTGGAGGGATATGGTCCAAGCGCCGGCATGTGGATCGAGTTTTAGTTTGGATTTATGGTTGACATGTAATGGTTGGACGGAAGGGTCTGTTTCCATGCTGTATGACTCTATGACCCTTTGATATGGAACAAATGCAGGAAATTGGGATTAGTGGACCTTTAATGGTAGTTACGTTGGTGCAAACTCGAAGGGCCGAAAGGCTTTTTCTGTGCTGTATGAAGCTGTGAATGGTGGAGCAGACTCTATAGGCTGAATAGCAAAATTCTGCTCCTCTGTTTTGTTGTCTTTTAAAATAATTGTTGAGTAAAGGTGCAAAACTCAAAATGTAAGTTCTATTTCCACTTCTGATATGCAAATTCTCTTACAGAGCAGCATTTTGTTGAAATACATATTCTTAATATCAATTGAAAACATTCATTTGGAGTTTCTGCTGTGCAGGGATTGCAATTAATATGGATGTGGACAGTAAAATTTTGCTTTGACTTTTACATCAAGAAATGGTATTGCAAGATATTTTAGGAAGGAGGCTATACTTTCTTGTTTCTTGTCTAATGTATCATTATGCTGCTAATGGTGCTTATTGAAGGTTTGTTCAAATAATTAATTTAGGAGTTAATGTTTTTTCAGTAATGCTGCAGTCTGTTATTGTGAGCCTCTGTAGCTGACTCTATGATTACAAAATGGAATAACTTCCCTGCTATTTACAGTGAAATTGCACACTTGCTGTTTACATTTGCATTTGTAATTTTGCTATACATAGTGATCACAGAAAACCTTGCCCATGTTAAAACATAATGGTTCAAAATGTTCCTGAACTTTGAGTTACCCAACAGACTATCGGCCTACTCCCCTACTAACTCCTAGTTTTGAGTTTCAGATGAAATCATAGCCTATCCAGTTTTCATTTATATGTATCAATGTCAACAAAGAGGCAAGAACTTCAAACATGAATAAGTAAACTTTCTGCACTGGCCCCTAACCATATTCTAAAGGATTCTTACCCCAGTTTGCCAGTGCATCCACAGATAATACATGTCTTCTCATAAAAATCTGGCATCTAATAGATTAATGTGAATTCAGATTGAAGTTTTAAAGTGAGTGTGGGTGGAGCATGCACTCCTTGACAATGGTCAAAATCAACTACTTGTATCTTAGGTAAACAAGAGTTTATAGATAGAAGGACAACATTGATAGGGCTATCATCTTTGAATCTCATTCCCAACATTTCTTTAAAGTCAATTGAAGTGACATAAACAACATAAGTTTAGAACTTGCAGTGTTAATTATGAAGATTTAAAATGCCGAATGTCTCACCTTTACAATTTTTCTCAAGCAATGGGCTGTTTATTTTAAATGGATGACCGTTGAAATAGCAAACAATTTCATATGAAGGATTGAAACTCACAAATATAATTTTAATGCTATAGACCTACGCCAATTTTAAAGATTAGAACACATACAAACACTTTATATGACAAACATGAGTAAACGTTATTCCAAGTCATTGAGTTTGATGGGTCTGTTACAGCCATTTCAGTAATTGAGATGGTGTCTCAACTAAAGTAGGAATCTGAAATAAACATAATTTGGATGTGGTTTGCTTTTTATTTGAAAGATTTTGTTAAAACATTTCAAGCTTCAAGGTGTGGTCTGGAATTGGATCTAATTATTTGTGTAATTGTCAGAATTAATGAAGTTAAGGTCACAAATTGGAAATGAAATCTTTGCAAAGCTGCTTTATGGAATGCTTCTGCACAAGCAATATAAAACAGTATTAAGTAAGAAGTTACATAGGATAGACTGGCAGTTAACAAACAAAGCCAAAAAAAAAACTGCTTATAGTAGAAATGTTAAATGTTTATTGGGGTTTTTAAAATACAAAGATCGGAAATTGTTCTAGGTGCAGAGAAGAAAGCTGAAGGAACTGATATAAATTTCAAAACTACCAGAATCCATAACGATGGAAGAGAATACTTTAGCTCCATGTATCAATTTTAGGTAAACGATACAAAATGCTATCACCTGGTGCTGAAATGGAAATGTGAAAAATCCCCAGTCAACAGCACTAATGCAATTTAGTAGCATTCAAAACATGCAGTGATTTTACTGCTATTGTGACTGATGTTGCTTTATTTAACTACTTCTGTTTTGTGGATAGCGCTAGTAAGCAGGTACTGGCAGCAAAACTTTCTTAATTTGTGGAGTTTTATTAGCCTGTGTCCTGGTATTTTTTCTTTCTCATGAAAAATAGGCAAAAACTTTATCATTTTCCAGGCTAACAGGCATTCAAATTATTTTTATTACCCAAGATTTTTCAAATTCTATTAATTTTCAAATTATTCCACTTGGAGTAAACAATTCATACTTAATTTTCTGTGATGTTCTACAAGTTAATTTTATTTCTGGTACTTAATCACAACTCTGATGTAAAAAGTGAGATTCTTGTCCTGGTTCTTTTTCTATCAGCTCTTTGTAACAAATTTGGAAACATCGGCTTTTTACTTTCACAGTCATGGCTTTGCTAAAAATGATACACAGAAGAAATTATTTCCACTAATGCTGAAAACACATTATATTCTCCTTTATTTTTGTGGGATAGCAAATTTGCACCAAGGTCAGTGATAATGGGAATAAAATATAATAATCTATATACTATATATATATACACACACATATATAGATGAAAAAATATTTTGAGGTTGACCCTCACTAATTAGAACTTCTAACATTCTCACCTAAGGCATGTAGTAAGAGCAAACATTGGAACATTATTATATGTTTTGATTCAACTTTGTGTTTATTGGGATTTCTTAACATGAATTTGAATGCAGATATAAAATATTAGGATAGGTTTCAAAGAAGTGTACAACAGGCGGTCAATCCACTCCTGCCAGTATTTTGCCCCTGATTAAAGAAAAATTCTACCCTATCATCTGTGAAACAGGTCAATAAAGGCAAACTGGGGCTCTGTTAGCCACTATATCAGTGTGCTGTTCTACTTCTGAATACCAGTTGGGTAAGATACCCCAGTGCCACCCAATCCACAATAACCACCTGGGTTCTTATCCAAGTACTGCTGGTGGTAATCTTCAGCAAAGTAGAACACTTGAGCCTCACGGATCTCAGTTGTGATTTGACCATACCCACTTCTGTTCAATTCCTGCAAAGACATGTAACAGTCAGACTTCATTAGAAATAGGCAGCAATTTTGATATAGAAATCCAAAATAAGCCATCTTTATAATTCTTGTAAACATTAGCACAATCAGGTTAACTTGACATTTGAAAGATTTTGCCAATGTAAAACAGCAGCAAGCAATGGAAATCAGATAGTTACATGTATTAAAACAACTGAGGTGCTTGAAAGGAAATCAGATATGAAAAATAGCATAAGAAATGGGAATAAAAGGATAGAGCTGTTACATGACTTGATGGATTGAATGACTTATTTCTCCCTTGTTAAGAGATTATCCTCCATTTCAAGACCGCTTCTTCAAAAGATCATGTAGGCTTCACACCAACCTGCACTTAACATTAACCATTTTATATCCTAAAGTAATAAACCATAGTTTTTTCAAGAACATTAGTGCACTGCCATTACTAAAGTTGAACTTTCACGTGAACATCATTCAAATCCAAGCAATGAAGAAACTTTCCCATCTTATGTGGCTTTATAGATAGACGTTGTGCCTAACTCTATTAAGCAAAGCCTGCCTCCTACCTTAAGTATCTAAACAGCAACATTTTGAAAATATTTAGTTTTTCTTTTTGCTGAAAGACTCTTGGAACTATCAAGCACTCTCATTAGCTTTGAACCTGTCAAGTTCCAAAATGCTGAGTTCAAAAAGAAATTGTAAATGTATATTTTGCCAAATTACCCACTGCTTTTATCCTCTTCTTTCCTTTCTGTCATCGAGAAAGGTTTCTTCAATCAGAGTGAACTATTTCTGATGAAGTGCTACGCTCAAAATATGAAGCAGTACTTTTCTTTCAGATGTTAATGGATTTGGGTGTTAAATTTCCCTTTTTTCTAAATTTTTGGTTATTCCTCAAATCTTTGTCAGAGACTTTTGTTCAGGGGTGGTGGTACAAAAGTTTGATAAGGTTCAATTTGGCTAGGGCAGAAGCTGAAATTTGTTGTGGAAGCGATTTGGACACAGGAATAGCTCAATATAGATAATGAGCTCTAAGATTCTCCAGCACAGCACTGGGGACCTTGGCGCAGGAACCGGTCAGAAAGAGAGACACCTTCTTTCACGAGGGCCCCAATAGACACTGCAGACAAATGATGGTGGAGCAATGAGTCAGACAGCTTGTTGAAGTCAACACTAGGAGTATAGCCCTGAGAACCTGAAACTGGAAGTTCAATAACCTCACATGAGTTATCAAGGTCAGTCAATGCATCTTCAAATATCAAATCCAATTATTTGTACCATTTGCCTCACACATCATTCAACTAATCAATTCCCATCACTCACCGACCAACAATTTGAATTCAGTCACAACTCATATGCAACATAAATAGCTTCACCTCCCTTTCACACACTTGACATGACTACAAATATCACACCTTGCTCACACTTCTAGTTATTTAAACATAACAGCCACAAAACTGAAAGCATAAAGTCAGAACAAAGGTCCTCTCCATGTCAGTTTCAGCAATTTCAGTCAGAAGGATAGCCTCTTCCTGCCATCTGCTGAACAAAGTCTTCCTGCCAATGTTCACCCAGCAGGAGAGCATTCCACCAGCCATGTTTACCCAGTGGGACATCCTCCTTCCACAGTGCTAACTTGCCAGAATGCCTCATCCTACCTTAATAATCTGCATTTATTGTTCTGACTTCTGCATAAACACCTTCAACATGCATTTAGAGTCATAGAGCTGTACAGCATGGAAGCAGACCTTTCGGACCAACTTGTCTGTGCCAACCCAATACCCTAAACTTTTCTAGTGCCATTTGCCAGCATTTGGCCCATATCCCTCTAAACCTTTTCAATTCATATATGCATTCAGATGTCTTTTAACTGTTGGAACTGTACAATCCTCCACAACTTCCTCTGGCAGCTCATTCCATACATGCAATAACCTCTTGTGAAAAAGTTACCCTTTAGGTCTCTTTTAAATTTTTCCCCTCTCACCTTTAACCTGTATCCTCTAGTTTTGGACTCCCCCACCCTGGGAAAAGACTTTGGCTATTCACCCTATCCATGCCCCTCATCATTTTATAAACCTCTGTAAGGTCACCTCTCAGCCTCCAATGGTCCAGGGAAAATAGCTCCAGTTTATTCAGCTTCTCCTTATAGCTCAAGCTCTAGCAACATCCTTGTAAATCTTTTCTGAACCCTTTCAAGTTACACTACATCCTTCCTATAGCAGGGAGACCAGAACTGTATGCAGTATTCCAAAAGTAGCCTAACCAATGTCCTGTACAGCCACCACATGACCTCCCAACTCCTATACTTAATGCACTGATCAATAAAGGCAAGCATACCAAATGCCTTCTTCACTATCCTGTCAACCTGTGACTCCACTTTCGAGGAACAATAAAGCTGCACTCCAAGGTCTCTTTGTTCAGCTCCCCATGACCTTACCATTAAGTGTACAAGTCCTGCCCTGATTTGTAATGTTGGATCCCATTTGCTTTGGGCACGTGTTAAATACAGCATTTAAAACCAGGTGGCTCACAGAAATGTAAATAAATAGAGCATTTTGCTGATTGGTAAGAGTTAAAATTGCTTCCTATACACCAATATTTCATGAAAGATCAATTTCTCAAAAATTCTGGATGTGACTTCTGTTATGATACCAACTGATGTTATTACTGGAGAAGCCAGATTCCAGGCTTAAATCTGGTTGATAGATCACATTTTGTTCTTTTTTGATTTTAATAAGGCAGCCTTTCACTGAAACACGGTGTTGCAGATTTGGTTTTAAAAATAAAACTGAAGTTTATTACGTAAGTGTAAAGTTAAATCAAGCTATTCAAATATAAGATAACAAGGTGTAGAGCTGGATGAACACAGCAGGCCAAGCAGCATCAGAGGAGCAGGAAGGCTGACGTTTCGGGCCTAGCCCCTTAGGCCCGAAATGTCAGCCTTCCTGCTCCTCTGATGCTGCTTGGC